CAGCTACTTGGAAGGCTGAGGTGGAAGAATTGCCTGAGCCCGGCAGGTTGAAGCTGCAGTGGTCGTGGGTGTGCCACTGCACTCCAGCCTGGGAAACAAGAGTGAGACTCTGACTCAAAATAAATAAATAATATAAATAAATAAATTGAATTTTCATATACAGTAAGCCTGTTTCTGAGCTCTTTGTGCTAAGCCACTCGTTTATTTGCAGATTAATATGGGGCTGTCACTCATCATGTGAAGACCAAAACTATAAAATTAGAGAACAAAATATGCGCTCTTAACTCGTTGTATATTGACTTAAAATTTGTATATCTCCCCTTTTCCTGAAGAGTCAAGGACTTTAAAACAATGTAACTCTATTAATCCTTCCAGCTCTCATCTACTTTAATTCTGTGGGTTTTTTTTTTCTTTTTTAGCCAGTATTCATTTTATTTGGCCACATACTAAGCACTTTATTTGTTCATCATTCTTTTTTGCATCTCAGAATGTTCACATGGAATCACCTTTCTTCTGTTTATAATACGTCTTTTTAGATTTTTTTTGTTTGCTTGTTTGTTTGTGAGTCAAAGTCTCCCGCTGTCACCCAGGCTGGAGTACAGTGGCATGCTCATGGCCACCCCAGCCTCAACCTGCTGGGTTCGGGTGATTCTTCCATCTCAGCCTTCCAAGTAGCTTAGGACCACAGGTGTGCGCCACCATACCTGGCTAATTTTTTGATTTATTGTAGAGACAACGTCTCATCAAGTTTCCCAGGCTGGTCTCGAATCCCTGAACTCAAGCAACCCTCTCACTTCTGTCTCCCAAAGTGCTGGGAATACAGGCGCAAGTCACCGCACCCAGCTAGATGGCTTTAGTGAAAACCTAGAAACTGATGGCAAACTCAGTTTTTGTTATCCTGAAAAATGTCTTTATTTTGCCCTCCTTCAAAGATAATGTCACTGAATAGGAAAATTCCAGAATGGCAGCTCTTTCCTCCCAGCACATTGAAGATGATGTTCTATTTCCAATGTCCATTGTTGCTCTTATGGAATCAGTAATCAGTCTCACCACCATTCCTTTGTTGGTGATCTGTCTTTTCTCTCTACCTGCTAATAAGATCTCCTCTTTATTATTTGGTTTTCTATTCTGATGTGTGTAGCTGTGATTTGTTTTTATTCGTTTTGCTGGGATTTCTTAGGTCTCTTTAGTCTGAGATCTTGTTTCTTTAAACAACTCTAGGAAAATCTCACATTTTATCTTGCTGAATGTTTTCTTATTCTCTGTTGTTTTTATTCTGAGACTCTGGTTAGACATAGCATGACCTTCTCACTCCAGTTTCCATGCTTCTTGACTCTCCTCATTTGTCACTTAGCTGCATCCTGGATAATTTCCTCAGAGCCATCTTTTTGTTCAGTAATTACCTGTTTAGCCCTGCTTAATCTATTGTTGGACCCATCCACTGAACTTTTTGTTTTAATTTTATTATGTATTACTTCTGGTTTATTTTTCAAATAAAACGATTTTCAAGGTTATCTTTTATTTTCTAAGATAATTTATATTTATATTCTTACTCCAATAATTCCATAGCCACTATGAGACAAAAAAAAAATCGCCAACTCATTGAAGCATAGCTGAGAATTACCAAATAAGTACAAACCAAAACCTAAATATGCCATATTAACTATGTAAATTACTGTAACATAATTTTGCTACATCAACCCCCTTGTACGCATCTTCCAGCTTCAACAAATAACTCATGGCCAAACTTCCTTCAAATATACTTCCTCCCTTCTTCTCTGTGTCTAAGAATGACAACCCCTCAAGGGATTGTAGATTCTATGTCTATTATTTCCAAGCTGCAATAGCTTGTCTGTGGTGGGGAAAAGGGGGGGGGAGTCAAAAATCCTCTAAAAACTGTATACTCATAACATCTCTCCAAACTACTGGCCATATTTAATATTAATCATTAACACCCAGAGGTCAAAATACACCTTCTATTAGCTACAAGGAAGTTGGAATATAATAAATATTTGTTTACAGATACAGTCATCCAACAGTCTGAAATATCAGAAGCTCTAAACTCATGACTTTGTGCAGAAACAAGAGTCAACAGGATTTTTATTCAGTCCTTTGGTATATTTCAGAGAAATGAATTGCTGTGAAATACTCAATTGGTTTCCTATCATCACATTACAAGATAGAATAATCTACCAAAGCATAAAACTCAGTGACATAGAGAAACCAGCAAATTCCCCTACCCTGACATAAACATGTGGAAGACTTTCCAATAGGAATTTTTCTGCTCTAACAAATTAGTAGATTGGATGGCTGTGACTCACAGTAATAACCCTAATGTATCCTATTTTAGATTAAATGTAAAACCTCAAAAATCTACAAAAATTAGTGGACTAACACATAGACAAAGTTATTTCCCCACAAAATTAAGAATGGAATTTGAACTCTTTGACTTAAACATAGCTAGATCCAGCCATAGGAAAAAGTGTACATAAAAAAGAACAAAAATTAACATGCTTAACAACTGCATTTATATTCCTTTCTGGTTATAAAGACTAATTAAATAATGCTTCTATACACCTTGATCATATGTGTCAGCGTATCAAACTCTCAACTGAGACTCACTTGTGTATTATTTATTTATTTTATTTAATAGAGATGAGGTCTCACTATGTTGCCCAGGTCTCGATCTCCTGGTCTCCCACCTTGGTCTCCCAAAGTGCTGGGATTACAGGCATGAGCCACCCACCCTGCCCAAAATTTACATAATCTCAACAGCATAATTGTCCTCTGACTTGAATCAAACAACCTCCTCCTATCCTATTAGTGAACATCACAAAACATATTTATTTTCTGAATATACATACAAAGAAGAACATGGCTCATGTGTTTATAAAAGTTTTTTACTACAGATTCTAGCTGTGATGTCTATTAACAAAGTGATTTATAACTAGTAAATAGCAAGATCTACTTGTTACATGGTCAGTCATTGGTGATGAGCATTTGGTATTGGCTGATGAATATATGAATGGATAAAAATAAAAGAGCTGTCCACAAATACAACATAAAATTCATAAAACAGGCTGGGTGTGATGGCTCACATCTGTAATCCCTGCACTTTGGGAGGCCAAGACGGGAGAACTGCTCGAGCCCAGGAGTTCAAAACCAGCCTGGGCAACATAGCAAGATCTCATCTCTACAAAAGATAGAAAAATTAGCTGGGTGTGGTGGTGCATGCCTGTCGTCTCAGCCACTTGGGAGGCTGAGGCAGAAGTGTCCCCTGAGCCTAGGAAGTCAAGACTGCGGTAAGGTGGGATTGTGCCACTGCACTCCAGCCTGGACAACAGAGTGAGACTCTAACTCAAAAAAAAAGAAACCAAAAAAACATAAAGTAGGTTCTACTTTATCTTTCAGTTTACTTCTGTAACATAACTGAGATAAAACCTAACACAATTTGAAAGTCTGTTGTTCATAAGTAACAGGACTTGACCTTATTTTGGAATAAATGTGTTTATAAAAGAAACTTAAATTCAAAAGTAAAAAAGCCACAAGTTTCTTAAAAATAACAAATACATATCGTTTAAGTGAGGGCTTTCCAAACAACAACAACAAATTAACCACTAAAACAAGAGAATCCCTGGGGTTTTTTTTCCTCAACTTTTTGTGTTTGCTTGTTTGCATGTTTTCATCATGTACAAATCTTAATTTAAGTATCAGAATGGTAATGATGATATTTTTGTAGCTTTTCCAATCCCTTCTAATTTACTTGATTAAGAAAGACAGTGATATAAATGCTCTGAGGGAGGTGTGAATTTTCAACTAGGGGGTTTGGAAGAGGGGGAGAAAGTGAATAAAGCATCTATTGAGTGTCCACCATCCGATCCCCACTAGTAAGATGGCGCCCACATGTTTGGAGGTCCACACACTTGCAGGGGCCTCCAATCCACTCCTGGAGGCTAGATGGAGCCCAAAGGTGCCACACGCTCCCTCTTCCTACACATGGACCCACTCATGCTATCCTTGTGGGGATATACAAGAAAGATCAGGCTTCTGTGGAAACTTCTGGAAGTGAAATGCACTGGGGATTCTAGAAGCAGCACTGCAGCATCCCGATGGATGGATCAGAGTGTCTTGTGCTGGGTGCTGAGCTAGCCTTACCAAAAAGAGAAAGACCCCTCCACACACCATGCCAGGTATTAAAGCATTGTGCCGCTAATTCTAAGTGTTTTGGTAACAGGACCTAAAGTCAGGCAGTGACTGAAAATTTTCAGTGCATTATTTAGTCATAGAACATTAGAAATTAAAAAAAAAGAATTCCAAAATCATTTAGTCCACCACTCACCTAAATTCCTTTAATTCACGTTTCCAAACTACATCTCCTGATGAATAATTGCTTCATTCCTGTTTTAAATATTCGAGGTTTTGTACTTGCACAAAATATTTTAATAGTCTTACAAAATAAGATGTCTCAAAAGGATAAACTTGAAAACAAAAAACAAAAGGCATAAAACTGAGCTTCTGAACAACTCGCCAGCACAAATAAACCATTGTCTTTTATCACCAGAGTGACTTTCAATCATGCGCCCACATCTGTCTTTTTAGATACCTAAATTATACATAAGGATTGCAAATATCCTTTATGTGCATATTAGGATGAACAAAACCTGCCAAGGCAGGTGCAAGGGCTAAAAGAATACACCTTCCTGCTTCCTTTTGTTACCTCCATTCAAAAAAAAAAAAAAAGAAGAATTCACCCTGAGAAAAGCCTCTAAGAAATGCCTCTAGTGGTATTTTCTGGAATCAAATTAAACATATGGCTGTACAAAGAGGAAAAGAAAATTTAAAAAAAAGGCAAGGTGAACTGTGGTGCCAATCCTGGTGACAAGTCAACAGAGGAGGAGTTCCCTTCCTGTGGCCTCCATAAAAGACCAGCTCAGCACCCTCTGGGAGACAGACTGTTCCAACCAGCCTGAAGTGACAAGTGCTCCCTGCTAGCATCCCTGATGGAGTTCAGTCGCAGAAGCTTGCACAGAAGCCTGAGCTCCTCCTTGCAGGGTCCTGCACTCAGCACAAGCACCAGGGGCATGCAGCGCCTCAGGGCTGCACCCAGCGTCTATGGGGGTGCTGGAGGCCTGGGCACCCGCATCTCTACCTCCCGACCCATGGTGGGCTATGGGAGTGATCTCGCCAGTGGCAGGAACCTGTTTGCTGGCAGTGAGAAGATGACCATGCAGAACCTAAATGACCGTCTAGCAAGCTACCTGGAAAAGGTGCGGTCTCTGGAGCAGGCCAACTCCGCACTCGAAGTGCAGGTCAAGCAGTGGTACCAAACTAACACGCCTAGTGCCAGTCGGGACTACAGTGCATACTACAAACAGATCGAAGAGCTGCAAAATCAGGTGAGGGATGGCAAATGTGTTTTCTACCCTATGTTTAGCTGCTTGATCGATCAAGAGGGCATATATGTTAGGTGGGTCCGAATGGACATTGCAAAGCAAATGAGGCTGAAAAAAATTCTACCATCCACCCTGAGCACCTTCTACCATCAGGTACTCAGGTACTGGAGTATCTGACTCTATAATGCTTAAATCATGCTATTTTTACATTTTTTGCTCTAATTACCTACAACATATGAACATTTTACCCTCTAGTCTTATGTTCTTACTCTTTGTCCCAACATATCACATCAGGGCTAAACAGATGAATGGTCAACAATTTTTCTGAAAAGACCTAAAGTGTTTTCATGTGATAAAATTTTCTTCATTTTTCACCTAATCCTCATCAATCTCGGAAAGTTGAATCTTCAGATTCAACCTTTGGAGGGTGAATTAAGATCACTAGTCAATTCAGAAATTTTTCTTTTTTTATTTATGTAAATGTTATAAAATGAGTATTAGAGTACTGTATCATAGAATTTAAATAAAAAAGATATTCAGGGAAGAAATGTCAGGGGCAGGGGTATGGGTCTTAATGAATTTTTAAACTCCCTGTTTAATAATATGATTATCATCACTAAGCAATTCAGAAACTTCTTCTACAGTAATAAAAGGTTCTATTGCCCTCAATTCACATTTATTGTGATCATCTCACAACCTGTTTCCACATCATCCAAAAAAGGTGCAGTTCTCTATTTTATCAATTACATGGAATAAAAGCAGAAGACTTTGCTCTTAACTGAAGAGTTCAGATATGACACAGAGCACTTGCTTTGCTTTAAAGTTCTTATCTAATCAAGAAAGATGTCCCTTTCCTTTTTATTTCTATTAGAATGAAGGTCAACTGTATGCCACCAAGTCCCCTTTCCTTGGTTTGTACTAGATATCAGTGCAATTTAATTCAGACTTTACAGGAAGTTACTGTGGGATTCCGGGTACTATGGACATGTGATGAAGTGGTATTTAAACCACCCTTACTGCCAACAGTTCATCCTCCTCAGGCTCTCACTAAAAATGTTCAGAATAAGCCAACCATTCTCCCATACCTATCTCATGTTTCTGATTCTACTTTGGATCATCTCAAATACATAGGCACAGCCACCAGTTCCACTTAGCTGGACAGACTAACCATAGGAAACCCTCTCCAGGACTGGAACCATTGAAAGAAATATGTCATTGTCATTCTAACATCTACAAATAGGTTGTTGTTGTTGTTTTTTTAATCTATATGCATCCTAGAGAACTCACTTTCCTTGGATCCAGGGCTCTTCCATCCTGATATCTTTGTTGTCATCACATGTAGGACTCCATTTGTTCAGCTAATACTTGGTGGACACTAACTAGGTGCTGGGTAACATACTGGCCATTATGATGGTTAGCATAATGTGATTTAGGAGGAAACAAGCAGGGACAAAGATAATTACCTCACAGAGGGATCATGAGGCAAATCAGTCAGTTCAGTTTTCAGGGCATCATTGAAGGCTCCCTTGAAGCAATGTTGTATGGCCTGACATATGAGAGAAGAGCAGGGTCAGTGAGAGGGGATAAAAGGAACGTTCCAAGCAGGAGCATCAAAGGCAAAGCACTCAAGGATGTTAGATGGCATAAGTAGGGTTAAATTCTCCTTTTGTAAAACCACAAGAAAACATACCAAGCCCTTGGGTCCAGGCTGCACTTTATGACTCTATTATGTTAAATACCCTTGTCATTATTCTTTCTTTCTATTTTCATGTGGAAATTCTTGAAATAAACGCTACCTCTGACATATTAGCAGTTGTATCTGAGGATAAACTCAATCATTTTAAATTCATATCTAGTTGAAAATGTGATTCTTTCTCATGTATCTTCCAGATTAAGAATGCTCAATTGCAAAATGCTCGGTACATCCTGCAGATTGACAACGCCAAACTGGCTGCTGAGGACTTTAGACTCAAGTAGGTTCTCTAATAATACATGGTGAAGCTTTCTGAAGAGGAACTCCTTTTAGTAATCCCTCATAACACTCAGTTCTCCCTGTTATTGCTGGTAAAGAAACTATTGTTAAATGTTTCCAGAATTTGAGCTAGCCCAGCACTCAGGACTGGACGTGTGGACATGTCTCTCTCTCTCTCTCTCTCTCTCTCTCTCTCTCTCTCTCTCTCTCATTCCTAAGGTTTGATCACCCAGCATGTCACTAAACGCCTCCAGTAACTACCACTGTTCGCATTGGTTAGTTCTAATTGTGCTCACTTTCTTGTGGTCACCACATGTGGTCAGAGCGGTTTCTCATAAACTGCTATCACACTAGCCCTCCTCATCCTGAATTTGTACAATGCATTCACAGCAAAAGGTCTTTGTGGTTAGAAGGGTAGCATTTTAATGCTACACGGGATTAAAAAGAAGAAAATGAGAAATCAGAGCTCAAGATGAAAGCAGTAAAAGTACATTAATTCCAATTTTACTGAGCATCTGAGTGTCCCATTGCATTATCATTTTTTAAAGTTTGCTATTTTAGAAAATTGGGTGTATATAAGATTGTAGAAGAGAATATAAGCTATTTGAGATATTTCACTTTGGATACCTCTATTCACAAAGCAGTAAATGTAAACTGATCTCACACATTAATTAAGAATCACCATTATTTAATATCCATAATCAGAATTCTGTTAATACAATAATTAAAACAATTTTTAAAATTTCTTCTAAAATATATTCTAGAATTTAGAAATGTTTAAAATTATTTTAGATTGCCTTTTTACCAGTCACTCCAAATCACAGAGATTATATTATGCAGCATATTATCTTACTCCTAGGTTCTTATACACATGTCATGAATGTATAAAGGGAGATATTATAAAGTATTGAAATTGATCTTCTCATAGACCACATAAGAATCTGTCTCATTATATTAGATTGTCTCTCCTATAGTGGCTTCAGAAAGACTCTGGTTATCTCTGCATGCTAATTAATTCACAGGTATGAGACGGAGAGGGGGATGCGCCTAACGGTGGAAACCGATCTCCAAGGCCTGAATAAGGTCTTTGACGATCTAACCTTAAGTAAGTCAGACTTGGAGATTCAAATTGAAGACCTGAGTAGAGACCTGGCTGTCATCAAAAAAGAGCATCAGGAGGTGAGAAAATACTCAGAAGTGGTATTGGGAGTGATGGCATGGTTCTACTAATAATAATAATGACAAGGAGGAGGAGGGGGGAGAAGAGGTGGTGGTGCTGGCAGTGACCGAGATGATGAAGATAATGACATAAGGATGTAAGCCCTAGCTTCTTCTCGTTATAGGTTAAATGGCTTAGACCACAATAAGCCCGACATATGTTACTATTTTCTTTCTTTGTACTCATTCCCAATGAAAAGAAGCCATAAGATTTAAGTCTTGTCTGTCCAGCCTTATCTGAGGATGTACTTCAGACTAAAATCAACCAGGACTTTCGCTCTCACAGGAAGTCGACGGCCTACACAGGCATCTGGGCAACACGGTTAACGTGGAGGTGGATGCGGCTCCGGGCCTAAACCTTGGAGTCGTCATGAATGAAATGAGGCAGAAATACGACGTCTTGGCCCAGAAGAACCTTCAAGAGGCCAAAGAACAGTTTGAGAGACAGGTAACAGCATGATTCCAAAGTGTGAGCAAAGAAGTAGAAGCTGTCCTCCAGAAAAAGACAACCCACCCTTCCTTCTTTCTTCCTTCCTTCCTCCCTTCCTCCTTCCCTCCCTTCTTTCCTTCCTTCCTTTCTCCCTTCCTCCCTTCTTCCCTCCTTTTTTCTTCCTTCTTCCCTCCCCCTTCCCTCCCTCCCTTCCTTCCTTCTTCTCTCCCTCCCTCCCTTTCCTTCTTTCCTTTCTTCCTTCTTTCTGTCTGTCCTTCCTTCCTTCCTCTCTCCTTCTCTCCCTTTCCTTCTTTCCTTCCTTCCTTCCATCCTTCCTTCCTTCCTCTCTCCCTCCCTTCTTCCCTTCCTTCCTTCCTCCCTCCCTCCCTTCCTTCTTTCCTTCCTTCTTTCTTTCCTTTTTTCCTTTCCTTCCTTCCTTTGATACTCATTTTTTTTCTCATTCTTGGAACTTTAGACTGAAGCTCTGCAGCAGCAAGTCACAGTGAACACTGAAGAGTTAGAAGCAACTGAGTTTCAACTCACAGAGCTGAGACGCACCTCCCAGAGCCTAGAGATAGAACTCCAGTCGCACCTCAGTACGGTAAAGCATAGCTAACTTCCTTTTCTCAATCCAGTGTGTGTCGACTAAGTGCTTATGTTAGAAACTCTGGAGATGCAAACACCTATAAGAAATAACCCCTCCCCTTGCAGAGCCGGCAGGGAAACAGGTCCAACAACTGACTATAGTTAAAGGACAGGGAGAAATCGAGAAAAGGGCAACTTGTACCGCACAAACACAGAGGAAAGAGGAGATCTGGACGATTTCAGAAGGATGGTGGCATTTAAACTAGATCTAAACATTGGAGGTGAATTTTTAAGTTGGAGAATAGGAGTAGAGACATTCCAGGTTAAGCAAATCAACCAGCCTGTGGTGAGCTATGCTGTGGTAACCAGCAAGCCCCAAATCACAGTGGCCTCCAGCAACAACACTACGTCCATCACAGGCAGGCTGCAGCTGTGCTCTGTGACATTTTCATTCCCAGGGTAAGGCTGAAGGACTAGATCCTAACTGGACATGCCAATAATGTAGCATAAAGAAAGAGCAATGGTCGGGCCACATGGTATCTCCTAAAGCTTCTTCTTAGAAAAGGCATTTGTCCATTTCACCTGCATTTCATTTGCCAAAGACAGTCACATGGCCCAGCCTGGTGTCAATGGGTTGAGGAGGTCTGATCCTGCTCTTGAGGAATACCACAAGCCACACAGCCAAGCCTGATGAAGGAGTGGGAGGTATAACCTTCTCACAGGGTGTGGAAGCACATGCTGAGAACAATAATACAGTGAACCACACTGAGAGAACTGTGGGTGCAAAGCTAAAAAACAAACAAGGAAAAATCTCAAGAGCTCGTGATCTCAGCTGGCTGGCGGAGGTTGTCTCGATGAGAAGGGTAGGAGATGCAGTGAGAAATACACACGATGCCCATGTGACTAGCTGCAGAAACTTCTCAAAACATATTAAAATTTTGTTCTGCCTCTTAAATCAAGTCCTCAAACAAGAAATGCCCTCTTTTTCTTGTGCTCATAGAAAGAGTCTTTGGAGCGCACCCTGGAGGAGACCAAAGCCCGCTATGGTGCCCAGCTGGCCAACCTCCAGGCACGACTGAGCTCTCTGGAGGCCCAGCTGATACAAATTCGTAGTGACTCAGAACACCAGAGTGCCGAATACAATATTCTTCTTGACATAAAAACCAGGCTTGAGCAGGAAATTGCTACTTACCGCCGCCTTCTGGAAGGAGAAGATGTCGAGTAAGGCTCTTAAAATCAAGGGATATGTGTCCATGTCTATGTGCTCTCTTATTTTAATGTCTCTGTCACTCATTACCCAGAACCAATAAAATGTCTAGCACAGAAACAATTGCACACACACACACACACCCCACCACCAATAACAGCAACAAAACAAAAATATGCCAAAAACTACACACACCCCCAAATATCAAGTACAGCTTTGAGATCATGGCAAGACTGAGTTAGAAGATGGTTCTCCAAATGATACAGATTATTATATTTATGTTAATTTTAGTGATCAATATATGATTGAAAGCACAGTAACTTTTTAGAAATTCTCACTGAGAACTCATGAATTAAACAATGCGCAGCAGAGGTCTGTGGGGGCCAGTTTGAGAGTCGTCAGTAGGGCAGCAGTAACTGTCTTCAGACACCACACCCAAGAGCATTAACAAAAGAACACAAGATTTAAACTTCTGTCACTATATTGTTATTTTATTTTATTTTATTTTATTTTTTGAGTTGGAGTCTCACTCTGTCACTCAGGCTGGAGTACCATGACACACACACAGCCACAGAGCCTCAACCTGCTGGGCTCAGGCAATCCTTCCACCTCAGCCTTTGAAGTAGCTGGAACTACAGGCATGCATACCCATGCCTGGCTAATTTTCTTTTCTTTTTTTTTTTTTTACTGTAGAGACAAGGTCTTGTTATGTAGCCCAGGCTAGTCTTGAATCCCTGGGCTCAGGCAATCCTCTCGTCTTGGCCTCCCAAAGTGCTGGGATTACAGGCATGAGCCACCATGCCCAGCTGCTATCATGTTATTTTAATTACAGAAATGTCTGGCATATGTTAACTGATCAGTCTTAAAGCTATATATTTTTCAAGTTAAAAAGTAAGATGCTCAAGCATGCAAAAACAAGTATTGGAGAAGGGCAAGAAATACAAAAACAGAGTTAAAACACACATCACTCAGACTTTACTTTGAAACATAAGAGGCAGGAGAGTACTCTGTTTTCAAAACAACAATAACTTTTTTCTGTTTCTGTTTCCTTTCTTTATAAAAAAAAAAAACAAAAGCGGAACTACAGAATATCAGTTAAGCAACCTGCAAGAGAGAGGTATGTGTCTAAGTTTTTGCACATTTTCTAAAACATTCAGCAGCTTTCCATTAACTATCTGCCACTAGCGAGATGTTAAGGCAGAATGTCTTAGTTTCTTTTCTGCTGCTGTAACAGAATACCTGAAACCAGAATGTTTGTAGACAGCAGAAGTTTATTTGGCATATGGTTCAGGATGTCCCACAGCAAGGTGCCAGCATCTGGTGAGGGTCTTTGTGCTGCATCAACCCATAGCAGCAGGCAGAAGGGCAAGAGCATGTGTTCGAGAGCCAAAGCAAGAAGAGGCTGAACTCACTTTTGTAACGAGCCCACTCTCACGATAACTAACCCACTCCTGTGATAACCACCTAATAATCTTTTCATGAGGGCAGAACCTTCATGACCCAATCACCTCTTACTAGGCCCCACCCCCCAACACTGTTGCATTGAAATTAAGTTCTCAATCCATGAACGCGTGGGGACAAATCCAAACAATAGCAGAGGCCAATTCTCAAGGGTGCAATTATGGCGCCAGGGATTCTAAAATCTTGTTCATAGCATAAACTCTCCATGTGGGAATTTTGCCACACTCCCTGGGACAGGGTGATTTTTTTGACCTGTGTTATTGCTGTCCTGAGACCCTGAAGAGGAAAATTTGACTCAAATGCGAATCTTGCTTAATCCAAGACCGCATATTACTGTCTGGGGGGGGGGGGGTGTGGAGAGTAGGAAATTTATAAATTTGGAAAGAGTAGCACAGTTTCTGCATTTATTTATAAAATGGACTTAAAATTATGTTGAAAAGAGAAGGGGTCCAACTTTTTTTCTCAAAGAAGGAAATAAGTGTGAAATTATAATAATTTAAAGTTGACTATTATAAACCAGCAGTCGTGCCTGAATAAAAAGTGAACGTCTATTATTAATTCAGATACAAAGAAAACCAAGAGGATCAAGACAATCGTACAAGAAGTGGTGGACGGCAAGGTCATGTCATCTGAAGTCAAAGAGGTGGAAGAAAACATATAAATGGAGAGAATGCTGAGGTTTTGAAAGAAGCGTGTCTGTCATTTTTGCTCTCTACAAGAAAGCAGCCATCAGAAAGCACTATTAATTTTTTGTGGTGATGGGGAGAGGGGAAGCCTATTTATCAGACTTTGTAATTGAATATAAAAGTTTTACTCAGAGGAGCCGCCAATTGCCTGCAAAAAAGAAATCCAATGAGCACTAGAATTTTTAAAACATTATTACTGCCATTTTTATCACTAAGCACATTAATTACAAGCTATAGGCCGCCTAATATCAATTTGTCGGTAATGTTCCTGAAAATTGCAGTACATTTCAATTATACTAAAACTTGCAGAACAGAAGAGTCCATGCAAATTGCAAATAAATCTCTCCCTGATTTTTTTTCCTATGTCTGAACTGCAAAACCCTCTTATGGGAGCCCTTAGTTTCTTAACTGAGCCAATTTCTTGGTTCATCTCACTGAATGTTCAGTATCAGTGCAATTCTGCTACCTTAGAGCTATATCTGCTTTTTTTCTCCCCATCATCTCAGTTCAGTTCTTTGAATAATTTGAGCATTAAATTCCAGTCACAAATGCTGCGTGGAATGAGAATGAAGCTTACTGTGCTTGAAATGTGAATAGATCAAAAACAAAATTGGTGAAGCCATCTCAAAGCAGCATGTGTCTCATTTTGATAATAAACTGCATAAGCCATCAGGTGCTTTCTTTCTTTATGTGGTGAAAGTATATTATGAAATGTTTCTCACCACTTGTTTAATAACAGCTTTATTGAGATATGATTCACACACGATAAAAAGTTCACCCTCACAATGCGTACTATTCAGTGGGCTCCAGTATGTTTACAAGGTAGTGTGGCCATCACCACTATCTAATTTTAGAACATTTCATCACCCTAAGAAGAAACCTTGCACCCCTCAGAAGTCACTCCCATTCCCCTTCCCTCCAGCCCCTGGCAACCACTAAGCTACTTCTTATCTCTAAGGATTTATCTGTTTTGGACACTTCACTTAAGGGGGATCATACAGTGTATTCTTTTGTATACAAACGTGCATAGTAGTATATATTCATAATAGCCCCCAAAGTAGAAACAGTCCAAATGTCCATCAACTGATAAATGAATAAACAAAATATAGTATGTCCATACAATAGAATATTATTTGGTAATAAAAAGGAGTGGTATATTGATACACACTACAACAAAAATGAATCTTGAAAACATTATTCTGAGTGCAGTGGCTCACACCAGCAATCCCAGCACTCTGGAAGGCTGAAGTGGGAGGATCACTTGAGCCCAGAAGTTCACAGACCAGCCTGGGCAACCAAGTGAGATCTCGTCTTTAAAAAAAGAATAGTAAAACTAGCCCGGCATGCTGGTATGTGCCTATAGTCTCAGCTACACGAGAGACTGAGGCAGAAGGATCGATCACCAGAGGGCAGAAGATCAAGACTGCGGTGAGCCAGGATCATGACACTGTACTTCAGCCTGGGCAACAGAATGAGAACGCAATTTTAACAAAATGCTAAGTGAAGGAAGCCAGATTAAAAAACACATATTGTATTCTCACCCTTTGCATTTTAGCGAGCGATAACTGCATGTGAATATTTATGGGGAAAATTAATTTGCCCTATATCATTGTATTCTAGCAAATAGGTTGGGCTTAAAATCTGATCTAGAAATTGTGAAAGAAAAAAATGGGCTTTGGGGCAGGGTGCAGTGACTCAAGCCTGTAATCCCAGCTTTTTGGGAGGCCAACGCCAGAGGATTGTCTGGGCCCAGGGGTTCAAGACCAGTCTGGGCAACTTGGCAAGACCTCGTCTCTACAATACATCAAAAAACTAGCCAGGCGTGGTAGCGCACACCTGTGGTTCCAGCTGCTTGGAAGACTGAAGAGGAAGGATTGCCTGAGCCCAGCAGGTCGAGGCTGCCATGGCTGTGAGCGTGCTACTGCTCTCCAGCCTGAGTGACAGAGAGATACTCCAACTCAAAAAGGGAGGGGGGAGGGATTTTGAGTTAATTATTATATAGAAAATAATTATTTGATTCGCTTAAGAATAATATCCACCATTTATTGAGTACTTCCAATAAGCCAGGATGCTAAGCATTTCATGCATTTCTCACTTAATTATCACAATAATCCTGTGAAGTAGAAGCTATTTGGCTAAATCATATGAACTTGCCAATAGAAGATCATTTCTGTCTTCCAGAAATAGCAACTTTATATGATTCAATCTTATTATATTATCCCCATTTTACATATGAGGACAAACGAGGATTCAATATGCAGACACAAGATAAGGATTTTCCCAAAGCCACACAGTTGCCAAGTAATGGAGCAAGATTCAATCTTGTGGCTGTTTGTCTAATAGCATGATATTTTCCTCAGCAACTACTTACGCAACAAAACAATATGTGGTTCACATTTGAAATGAACACTGGCCTATCCTTCTTTGTTTTGTTGTTTCCTAACTGTCATTTTCAACAGCCAGACATAACAGCTAATTGCGGCTAATGTCCAGCTTTGTCAACTTCACACACACGCAAGACTTGATTCAGTACAACTTTTGTCAGAAAAGATACTGTCACCCATTTTCGTTGCCTTGCTTTTTAAAGAAGTGAAGAAGTTTCATTCTTATTTCTTCCTTAATTTCCTTCCAAGTCATGCCAGCTAGTAAGTTGCTTTTAAAGATGTTAAGAACTTTTAGAAGTGAATTCTTTTTTCACCTACCAAACTGCATTCCATTCTAGAATGGTCTGAAACCTTGACATGCATTCCAGAGTCTGTGAATCTAACTAATAAGAAATCTAAGCAGATAGGTTTGGAATTGATTAGGCATGACCACTGTCATTTGGTAATAATGACACTGTGTTAAAAGAATTGGGATTGTTATTCTCAACTCAGTTTCATATCAGAAAAATGAAGATTTTCTCCCCTAGCTCTTTTGGTGTGTGTGTGTGTGTGTGTGTGTGTGTGTGTGTGTGTGTGTGTGTGTGTGT